TCGCTGCTAGTCGGAATGAAGGAGTCCTGGCGGGTTTCATTCCGTGCAGGCCCGGCGAGCGTCGGAGGGAGACGCGTTCATTCGACGCACTGAAGGACAGGGAAACAGGAGGAGGAAGGGGGGGGGGGACTAAAACTGAGCGCGCGGACAGGCTTCTTCACGCAAAAGGCCCCTTCACACTGCGATCGCTTTCGCACGCATTTCCGCGCGCATCGCCGGGTAGAGGATGCTCGGACTAGCATGTTTTCGTCCGCAATGGAGAGCGTGCTGAGTCTTGTTCGAACATACTGTACCGCGGACGATCAGACAAAAGACTATAGTAGAGTATCGCCGACGCCTCCAAAAATAATTTCAAATTGGTTACCGTCCTTTTTTTAATGCAAATATTATAGTGTAAGAGATGTTCGTAACACTCGTATTTCTTGTTGGTTGGATGATAGCGAGAGCGGGTCCATATTTCCACGCATAGTAATGGCTGTATACTCATGCTGTATTTTGTTCAATCATCTCTTGTCTTGAATCGCAATTCAAATGTTTAAATATTTTGAATAAGATAAGGTACTGTAGAAGAAATGGGAATTGAAACTGCACATGAACCAACAGCATATCTCAGGAAACAAGATTTCCCAACCAAGCACACTTGAATGTTTTATGATGAATTTTTTAAAGTTCAAGGACAGTACCATCTATATTCTATAAAAATACACATTGACTCTCTCTACGGCAACAAAATTCAATGGGTAAAAAATTGTCATTGAGAATATTTTGTTGCAGAGAACCCCTGTAACATAGAGAGAAAGTCCTATGGGGCCAAAAATATTTGTTTTAAAGATAAATTTGCAGATATAAGAACATTATGGAGAGAGGCCAGCACTTGTAGAAGCGATTCTGTTGACCATGTTTAATGTGCATGCTGAATTTTGTGCGAAACTATTGATGCAGCACATAAAATTAATGCTGATGGATGCTTTCCAAAAGTTAATTCTCACTATCAAGCGTATATCGACTAAGGCCATTTCGATTCTGCATGCTTTGTCATGATAGTACTGTAAAGTATATGTAAGCACGTACATATACGGTATGCATCTACCGTACATACTATCATAGTACTGTATATGATGCATCATAAGATAAAATTCTTATCTCGCGCATCTATAAATGTGACAAAGTTGAAAAAGAGAAGTTTTCCTTCGGTGAAAAAATATTTTGAACACATAATCTTTGAAATAAAGCACCATTTTGCGCATTTGCATTCCAGAATAAGTGCGCTGATGTTGGATTCATGCGTGACGTAACTTTTGACAAATATTGTACTGCTGTATATATATACTCCTACGCAGTATAATAATATACGACTGTATTCACATTTAGCATTTGTCAGCTTAAAACTTCATTTGAGTAAGGCATGAGAGAAATTTGTTTAGCTTTGGAAACATCGTGAAATGCAGTGAAAACAGTTGACTGGATTTTAATCGGTTGTCTGAAGGATTACAGACTTTACCGTTTTATAAAGATCACAAGATACAGTAATGTATAATTATGAGGTACAGTCCAGATAATTTTCTTCTTGCAAGTGCAAAATTTTAGTTAATTATCAGTCTTCCCCATGCTACACAGCATGCGAAATACAATACGAATCAAAATTCATGTTTTTCCATGTACGATAATACTTTCCTTGAGGAGGTGGATTAATAAAGGTTGGTGGAATGAAGTTTTATCAACAAAGTAAAGGTGAACTCTCCACGCGCTTTTTCTTCAACAAAAAGCATCTGTACTTGTCATTGTTCGCTGGTTTCCGCCGATCTTTCGATCATTCACCGTATGAACAGTTCTTCGGCTTATTACGAAACATTTTTTCTTTTGATTCATTTTGGCCCACTGCCTATCACCGTAAAAATGAGCATTACAAGAGTAAAAATATGAGATACCGCATCCAAATAGGACCAGGTTACAATTATGTTTCCGCATGGAACTTCATACTTGTCTCAAACACGTTCACTATACCATACAGTACTTTTTATAGTTCGAAATTAATATCAACCCGAACATGTGAACATACGTTCAGATTCATTTCCTCATCAATTTCACGGGTAAGCTTTGAGGGCAACTAATGTGAGTCGGCGAGAAAAGTCAGTCTTACAATTCCATTCAACGATGAACGAACCGAAATAAAATTAGAGCTTCAAGGTCGGTAGCGATTCAGAAGACAATGTGATGCAGGAGCACTGTTCTTCCTGCTTACATAATTTTAATATTTTTGGGCTGGTTTCTTCTTCTCAGAGAGTATGATTTAACGCTGGAACTCGAACGAGAATTTAATCCACGTTCGAATGAATTGAATTCCTGAGTCCAATTTTTTTTCTTTCAAACACGAAAATTACATTTAAAGAACATTTCACTATGTATTTCATAAGATCGTGGCCACGAATTCAGCTAGCAGTTTGAACACGTCACGTGTGAGAATCTCGCAGTCCAGTATTTCATGACAAAATGGCGGACAAAATAATTTCCAATAAATTGCAAATGCAGAGAAACGTGATACGAAGGCATTCTTTATACTTAATACCCGGTTTAACATTTCAAATCAACGGCACTTCGTTTAGACTAAATCACAGTCGGAATATTCAACATCTATCAAACAGAATAACGTTTCAACGAAAAAAAAAAAAAAAGGTAATAATCGTGATTGCATTGGATTCGTTCTCATGAGTCTCATCACACCCCAAACCAACGAATTCTTATTGCACTTGAAACGCGATCGTTTCCGTCTCTTGACGATCACGCATCCGAACCCTTCGGTTGAGCACTGTGCATCAAAGAACACTCGGACATGGAGTAGGAAATCAAGGCATTGCCACCCAGTGCCCTCACATGAGCCCGAACTATGCTCAACACTTCGGCAACGAAGGACGATACAAAGATGCTCAATCCTCCGCACTGCAAAAAAAAAAGCATGGTCGCTGATTAAAATTTGTTGAAATCAGTCAAACCTCTTCAAGTCGAACTTCAAGGGACCAGCGAGAGAAAAAAAAAATCAAGTAAGGGAGATTTTGAGTTGAGAAAACAGGCTTTTTTCTTTAGGAAAAAAAAAATTACTACAGGAAATTGTAAGTGATATTCTGGTCCTTGAATGACTTTTTCTATCAGTAGGCAGGATACAAGAGTTAATTTGCTTGACTCGTCTTTCATTTCTTTTCAAAGCACATCAAGTAACATTTACTATTCATTTAAAATTGACTATTTATTTCTATGTCCAAAAAAAAAAATAATAGCCAGAATGCCTCCAGAAAATTCGTACTATGGAGGTTTCCGGCAGAAATCTTTCGGTTGAAGGAGGTTTTTAATGCATTGCTTTACGAGAATTCAGAGAGGAACTTGAAAAAATAGATACATGTAGGTTCGGGTTATCGAGGTTCAACTGTAACAGCTGCTCGTTCGGCACTTTCGCTTTTAGAATGCGGAAGTGAAACTTGAAGACACAGTTCAGTATATAATTGTAAATACCTCTTTCACATTCATCGTTTCTCGCACAAAGAAGAAATTCAAATTCCCCAGGTACGATTCGGGTTTCTTTCCGTGAATCCAAGTCAATGGTGTGATCAAAACAGGGGTCGGCAACTCGAAACTCTGCAAAAGATTAGCATTTTTAAGGAATGGAAATGAGACCTAGTAATTCATCTGATAAATTGAATGGAAAGGTGAAATGTAACTTTCGTTCAGCGAAACGGTTCATGAATCAAATAATACTGGAACCTCTATTATCGCCGGATGTTTATCCCGGCAAACTGAAAACGACTAAGATTCTACAAAGATCAGAAATTACATTTTTGTACACGATTGCAATTGTGAAGAACATTTTTTCAACACACATGATAGTCAGAAGAAGCTCAGGAAAAAAATACGTTGGATCATAAATTGAAGACTTCAAAGATGGCTTCAGCGTCAAACTTATGGAGGAAAATTCATTGAAATCATGGTAAATTGATGAAGGGATAAAAATACCCGTATTTCCTCGAGTACCACGCGCACTTTTTTACTCAAATTCCAGAAGAAAAAGGGTGGTGCGCGTCATAGGCGAGTATGAAATTTTCAAGAAGTTTTAAGAAAGTTATTTGGGCATTATACTTCATGATAATGGACAATTTGGGAACAAATGACTTACGAACACTTCTTATAAAAAAAAAAAAATTGCAACTTGGCCAAATTTATGTTTAATTTGGCCAAAAATGTGGTCTTCTTATTTTCAAATTTTTGTGTTTTTAGAGTCACGAAAAATTTGGGCGCGGGTCTTACTTGAGGGCGCGTAGTACTCGAGTAAATTAGTCTCCACAAGAATTAGATCGGATAAGTCGAAACGTTTCAATCTTTCAAATACGTTCTTCATCCACAAAAACTCACATTCTCCGCAACAATTCTATTGACACCTGAGTCAGGAACCGTAAGCGTAAGATTCGAAGAAGGCTTCCTTCCAATACTCGATGTCGAAGGCTTCAACTCGGTTTCACAAGCACCATCCGATGACTCCTTGAGACTCTTCACAGTCTCAGCATCCGACTCAACACTGGGCTCTGTGCTTGCTGAAAGCTTTTTCCAGTGGTTCATATTGTAAGAGAATGAAGGGGTTCCTAAGCTCACACCCGTCAAAATAACTTGCAATTCGTCTTCTTCCACGGATGTCACATTCACTCGTACCATGCGTACAATCTTAGGCTCGGCTTTCTTGAACCGGTAACACGTCCCCTGTGAAAAAAAAAGTTATCAAATAAAAAAACAAGAGAAAAACGAAATTTATACGAAAATTATATAAGGCAAGCATTAACGAAAGGTATAGCGTTCGTGACAAATCTCCAAACCTTCATTACATGCTAAACTTAGAAAGGAAACCTGGTGCTTCGTCGGAGATTAAAACTCAATATTATAAATTTTGCCTCAGGTAATCAGTATTGATACTGAACTTGAAATATATCGAGCGAAAATATCAGACGCATTGAGAGAAACAACAAAATAATTCATTAAAACAATAAAAAGTACTCATGACGAAATAATAAAATACAGTATAAGCATCATATTGAATGAATATTGCACAAAAAATCTTTCGATACTGTATCTCGATAACTCAACCCACAGCAAAATTCTCACATCACGGTATCGCGAAACCTTTTGAAATCACGTCAATTTAATAAGAGGATTCAACCCACTCACATGGATCAATCGGTCCATGATTCTGGATAAATCCTTGGAAGTGAACGGAGGTGTTACATTCCCTCGCCAAATTTTGGTGAATAGCTGATTCTGAGGAAGCTCATCCTCAGATTCAACGAACGTATCTTGAGGGTTGCTAGTTTTCGACCTTCCATTGCAAATATAATCTTCTATATTCGACACCTCGAAATCCAGCGGCGGCTTCGGATCCATGAGCAAATTGATCACATCCAAATCCTCGCAGTCATCAATCTGAAAGATAAACACCCATTCAATAGAAAAGTCGAACCGCTTTGGGTCTAACTTTGAGGGACTAGCAAGAAGATTCCATTTCGGGAACCAAGCAGTTGGGGAAAGAAAAAAGAATTGCAGGAAAATTTTCATCATGATTTTCTTGACTTTATTGCTTGTTTGAATGAGTTGACAGGATGCTAAACTCGGAGACAAAAATTTATTTGCTCGATAGGGGGAAATCCTTCGAATTAAGTTGGCTTCAATGCATATTGTTTCTTAGAGAATTCGTGCAGGGACTTTGAAAAAAAATTACGAGAGGAGGTTTGAATTATCAAGGTTCAACTGTATGAAATAGCAGCGTCGAAGCTCAGGAGACAAATAAATGACATACTTCCTTTTGCGTCCACAGGAACAAAGGTCGCCTGTCCAGTTCTACACCGTCTACAAGTAGCAGGCTCAGTGACTGTGCGACTCGGGCAAGATTGCGGTAGGCGCCTCGAAGCTAGACTCTTCATTGTAAATTTTCTAAGTGACACCGCAGCACGTGAAAGCAGAAAGACATACGATCTCCGGAGTTTTCGCAAGCCCGAACGTCTTCTTGTTGGCGGCAACAAGCTCACACAGTTTCTTCTGGATGTCGCTCACAGAAGAATCCCCGTCCCCGTTCTCGGACTTCATGGAGGAAGACGAATGGCTGGCAAGAATCCTCGGAACGGTGGGAGGAGGTAATGCAGCAAAATAGCACGCAGTTCCAGTCGCGACTCCGATAAGAAGTTTGTCTCCGATTGAGATTTGGGTCTGAGAAGAGAATTCCAGAACTTTATGAAATCCTATCAAGATATTTTACAATTTTCTTGCACTTGAAATCCTCCAATTCCGTGATGTTTTTCACAAATTAAAAGTGGTGCATATTTCTGCACGCAGCTCAATTTTTCATACGGCCTTCCAGCAAACGTGGAGCGGTTTAGATCAAAACACATCAGTATAAACTATAAAGGCTCATGTTTTTCTGTATTTGCACATACATTTTATTTTTATTTTTCTCTGCAACCAATTGTGGAATCATTAAAAATACATACGGCACCAGTACTGAACGCCTCACCGCTCCTGCATTAAGTAATTTTAGAATTGATAATCCTTACCATTCCTCCAAGGTCTGTGTATTCAAGTATGTTAAAAATATATCATCCCCAGTGAATTAATTAAAGATTTGAACATTCTAATGAAGGTTTAGAAATTTAAATTTCAAGTTAAAGAAGGCTAAAATCAGAATTTGATGAATGCCTCAATCATCAATCAAGAGCTCACGAATGAGTTCAATGAGTAATCATTGTCATGAGTACAAAAGTTGAAAATTAGAATACAATTTGCAACTACTGTACATTTTTACCAATTGCGGGTGTTTTTTCTGAAATGCATGCATATCATTATTACCATAAAACCGTTCAGCCAGTTCAAGTGTTTAACGCAAAACAATATTGGTAATACGGAAGGGAATGGAAAACATAAATAAAAATATTAAAAAAGTACGTACCGTTAAACCACAAATACAGTTCATTCCTTTCACGCGGAGCTTATTGATCAATTGGCGATACATTTCATATTCAAGAAAAGGCAACGAATCTGATATTTCTTTAGCAAGTTGCTCAGCTTTGCAATCCTTCAAAGGGCGACTAACGCGGCCCTGTATCAATGTTCCTTTCCCAATTCTTGGTATCTTGTTCGGAGGTTCTATGGTCAGAATCAAACTGTCCGGCACTTTTCCGTTCCTAACAAAAAAAGGGAAGAGAAAACGGAATATCAGCAATTTAAAAAAAAAGACCTGCTTAAAAACTCACCAGCAAACTTGACAACGTTTCAGGCTGACAGGAAAAGGAGCATTGCCGTCTCCGTACGGAGCGTGACAAGTTCCACAGGGACTGGAATCGGGTGAGAATACGGAAAGCGGACATCCATCTTTCTCCAATTCCTTTTCGGTGTCAAGAGTTTCTTCGGCCTATTAAAAATTCTCAAGGTTTAGCATTTACGCATCCATAAATAAACTTCAATACGCGAAACTTGGACCTTTAAAAGTGGCGCGAGTGCTTCACCTTTAACCAGGATAAAAAAATTAAAGTCGAGGAAATCTGCGAGCATTTGATTGGCATTATACATCATCTACAACCCCCGTGAAATCTTGATTTCTGCTCCCTGAAATCGAATTTCATCCTTTCGTCCTCTAATAGATTCGAAATTCGACTTTTCCCGCTCAGTGGAATATTCGGAATTCAATATCTGAAGATAAGCGAAAATCCGGACGTCGCCGAAAAACGAAACAAAAAACAGTTTTACATGCATTAAAAAATTTTACATTGAGTTCCTGAGTTATAATTTACACATTCGAATAGATAACAAACCTCGGCGGACAGTACAAACCGCTTTCATAGTTCAAGATAGTGTAGCATTCAAATCAATTAAAAAAACATTTGACTGAATACTGAAGTTGGATATCACACAATGCTGAACAAAGCAAATGCAAATTCATCAGAGCGTTTTCCGAAGGGCACCATACACTTACATTAGGCTCAACAGGGATTTTCGGGCTTTCCGAAAAAAAAAAAAAAGGAAAACCACTCGCATGAGTACTCACTGATTGTTCGCCTCCACTTGATGTTGACCGGAAAGAATCCTTTCTCATGTGCTCATGGGCCGATTGAGAGGGCATTGGATATCCAATTATTCCGTAGGTAAGCATGGTGGGATCGTTGTATTGAACACCAGCAACGAATGCCGCAGTACCCGAGGCACTCAAGATGCAGATTTCCTCCCTTCGCCAGAACAAGTTATCTAATGAAGGCTCAGTAACTTGGTTTTAAAACACAATCCTCTAACCATATGCTGGTCTTCTCTTCGTAGCCCAAGACTACATTGCACGCCAAAGCCTTGGTATGCGATCTGATTTCCATTCGAAGTTCAGTCCACCAAGCATCACGCGTTTCCGGCTCGTCTGGGTTGTGAATTCTGTCGAGTAGTTTAACGCTGCGCGCACTTACAGTTCCTCCTGAAAACACAAAACAAGGAATAAATGCGGCATAGCGAATCACATTCAAATTGAGTAAATGACCAAATGGAGAATAACGGAGAAAAAAAAAAATCGTGAGCAACAGACAGCATACACATTGCGGTTCACAAATACTGTAAAAATATTTCGGTATTTCAGGGGTGGAACCCCTTCGCCTACTAGGAGCAGGAGGAATATTCTATGTTTCCGCGAGAAGTCGGGAAATATGTTTTACTTTTTACGAATTTTCGGGTCATTAAATCACTTCTTTCTGCTTTTCTCATATCGGCGCATCGCTTGAAAATACTGTACAATATATTCCATTTTAAGCAATTCAAGCGTTCACGGACGTTCCAGAAAATAACAAAAAGATCCCGTTTCTGAAATCATGAATAAATAGAACACGAATAAGAAATAGGCGAAGGACTCGCTAAATTTCCTACGTGTTTCCTCGATTTTTGAAAAAAAAAAAAAAAAATCAGGCAGATTTTTTTTTTTTTACCTGGAGAATGAACGAAAGCTATTTTTTCTGAATCACCAAATTATCTGAATAGAGCTTTAAGTCAGCCAATTTTTCTTTTTCGCCCAGAAAGCAGACAAAAGGCTTATTCAGCTATGCATAACTTAAAAACCTAGCATACATATACAGTATACGAATACAAGAGTTTGGCTCACCCAATCGCAAAATGAAGTCATCCGGATACGCTGACATGGTCAAAAAGGGATACTCCAAAATTTCTCCACTATCTTTTACCGCACTTTTTGGCGGTGGTCCAGAAACGGAATACTTGGGGATAATCAAGTCAGCATCTAAGAAAAAATGCAGTGAAAACATCGACCGTGACACGAATAAAAAAAAAGCACTGACTTCTGTACTCGGCTTCCAACGATGCAGCTGTTTTGTAGTCTGATTTAGATGACCTTCCGCGACCGGGACTTAGCGGAGGCGGTGGAACTGCAGTAGAATATTTACGCACTGGTCCCTGTGTGCTCACTGAAGACGTTCTACCATGAAATGAAGACCTGGGCGAGAGCCTTGCCGGCGATGTTGATAACACTGTCTGGGATGAGACGGTTTCTTCTACAAACGGAAACCTGTGTCAAGCCACACACGTACTATCTATCACAAATGCTTTTTGTTAAGAGGTGGTAAGCTTGCTTGCATACTCGGGAAGGGTCTGTACTGGGTAATCGGAAGAGTCGTCTTCCTCAAGGAACACAGATGGGCATTCGCTCTCATCATCCGTGTCGGACAGATAGAATTCGGGACGATTGGTCAAATATTCTGAAGCCGGGCTGTAAATATTAGCGGCTGATCTTCCGTGTCGGTCGGCATTATAAACGTTTTTTCCATTACTACCATAGTTCGTGTTCAAGCGCGCTAGAATTCCTTCCCGCTGCACTGGGCGGCGGTTGGTCCAGATCTCCGGAACAACACATTGAGAATATTTGCAGCCTCCAGTCATCGAATAGACATGTCCAAAAGTTTTTGGACGATTAGCATTTATGTTATTCCCCAAAGATATCTTTCTACTCGCAGACTCAACAACGGCCGCAGACCCAGCAAAAGACTCAGCCCTACGGAAACCTGAAATTTTAGCGGGAAGTTCCCCAATACTTGAGACACGTGAGGGAGGAACAATATTCAGGACTGGACAATAAGGTGTATTCAAACGCCTATCAAACCAACACGAAGGGAAGGTCGATACCACAGCACACGCATGACAAGCAAACCAAGCAAGAATACATCGATCAGAGATAACTCAGGCACATTTGGCCAATGCATACTCACTGTCGAGTTGAGAAATTTGAACCAAATGCGGTCAACATGTCATGTATATTTTCCAGGCCTCCGATTGAACGGCAAATTGTTACAGCCGTACCAATCCCACGAACGACGACTCCACTTTCTCCTTCCAAGTCAAAGCAAACTTTGTAACTATGGGCAAAGGAACCCTCACATTCAGAAGTGCAATGAAAAATGAACAAACAAGCAAGACATTCTTCTTACCCGAGGATGGCGTTTCCCCCGAGTTCCAGAGCTTTCAGTCCAATTTTTCTTTGAACTTCACCAGAGAGCTTGCAGAACAATACTTGACGTGCTTCATTTGATGCTCGAGGTGTCCGAATTTTATCAATCCACTGATATTCTGGATCATTGTTGACCACCAGTTCCTCCACAAAACCATGAACTGCTCCTAGTGTATAGCCCCATGGCACACTCGGAGCTGTTTTAGACAAACAGCAAGAATGATAAATAAATTTCAAGAAACATACTCAGAATAAAAATAGTCACCATAAAAAATCTGCACACCACACGACGACTTCCGATACTTGTTGAAGTTTGATATGAAATCTACTTTCAAAATAATGCTGACCTCTCCTCTCAAACCATGTATCGTATCGTAAATGGGAATCCATCCATTCATGACCGCTCCTCCTGATGATATGAAGCGGATAGAATAATAAGACCCAGAGGAATGCCTACTTGTTCTGGCGTCAAAATACTTACCGCTCGAATTACTTCCTTCTCCTTCAGGCACTGTTCTAGCAAAGCTAGGAAGAAGAAGGGGATTAAGATCTATGTAAACTTTGCCAATTGCATCATTCGCTGAATACGTGTCGTGGTCCATCACACGGATTTGCAGAGGCTCATCTTGTAAACTAGCATCATCCACCTAAAACGACAAGTTCATATTTAATTCAACAATAGGATTTTTTTTTCATTTCTAGTGCCGTACCTCAAAACGAAACCACTCGGAATTCCACTGCGGTGACAATGTTTTCCGGCAAACTTCCGTTTTGTACGTGGTCGAGCCGAAGCGAACCTCAACGTAGGCATCAGTCGTCTCATTCGTGCGATCCATTACAGGAAGGTTTCGACCGGCAACAATTCGCACTTTCACTCTTCCAGGCATTGTACAACGGAAATAGCACACCAACAGAAATCTGCAGGGCAGAGCATCAAAGACTTACGAGTTAGTAAGGCAGGTCCCCTTCCTCAGGGCCAGCACTCCACGAAATTCAACAGATAGAAACTCACGTTGTCAGTTCCGCGCTATTGTTTGATTGACCCAGCCGGGACCCGATGTACAAGTGACATCTATAAGCAGCACAATGAACCGACTCTCTAAAATTGTTGGTGTGGCATCTGTTACTGTATCTTGAATAATGAACACGTCTCCTTCGCTGAACAGTTCAGAGTACAGTAATGTACTGTACTGTTCTAAATATAAAGCAACATTCAACCGTGTGCTTATAGAAATGATCAGGGTTGGCAGGAAAATAATGTATGCACAGATTAGCGGAAAATATCACCATGATTTTAATAATGAATTCATATACTGTGCAGTATAATGTGCTGCACTAGACAGCATTTTTGAATTCGGGGAACCAGCATGAAGCAGCGTTCAATTCAAAAAGCGGTAGATGTGACTGCAATGATGTTGAAAATTTTGTTACTTGTATCGCATGCAGTATCAATTATGCTGTTTTATATATTTTTTTTCATTGTGGTACTCACGAAATCTAGCTGACCAGCTAGGTCATCGAAAGTGACGCTCATGTGGGGTACATCCGAATAAAACTTCACATTTGATACCAGAACACAAGTTGCAGCAAACATGTTGCCCAGTACAGTATATGACAGCTGCTGTAATAATGCCCAAAATTTTAATGTGTTGGACGATGTACTTTAGGTCTCCTCATAAGGGTGTGAAGGTGTGTCCAAAAGTTGCCACGAGGGTTTTATTAAAAAGATAGGTACTTCTTCAAGTTAGGTATAGTAGTGGATTAAGTGGAAAGCTTTGCGCACTTAGTTTTCATGTGGTTGTACAATACTACAGGATTAAATTCTATGAAATAATGTTCAGTACTGCTCTGTATAGTGGTTTCATGACATTCTTCTTCAATATTTATTCGCTGGTGAAGCTGGGCTGACGATTTTTCGGGTATACGGTACATGCATCCAACTGATATTCCTTTGGATGAATTACAACCTTCTTTTATGCTGTGAAATATCCTAGAGACCTAAACTAGATCCCTATAAAACAGCCATTAAAAAAAAACAACAACATGGAACCGAACTCATTCAATGCCTTCTCAAATGATTTAGTTTTTTTTGCTGTGCTGCTTCGTATTACTCGTCATCACACCCATGACCGCTTCGACAGAAAATTCCACTAGAAAATAGTTTTCTAGAAAATAGTTTTCTAGAAAATAGTTTTCTAGTGCTATCTCATATTTTCAAATCTTGTCCCCAAAGACTCGTTATCATCCATCAGAAACAGCTAAAATTTTCTCTTCAATTTTCCGAATATCTACAGAATATTAATTGAATAAAATACGAACATTTTCAAGAGGGCTTTTACGGGCAGGAGAGCCACACGGATGTACCTCAGATTCTCAGAATAATAAAAAAACCATTGCGAAAGCAATTGAATGAATGCTTTACTTGTTTATTAGTGCTGAACTCCTAATTTAGGAGATATCCACGGTTGAATTACACGCAAATTTTTAATTTTTCGCAGGAGCACGCAAACGTAGTGTGTCCGTATCTCAAAGAAAATGTGCCAGGAAGCTTTTTCAACTGTCCGAAAGTTACGTTTTCATAAAATTTTCTGCGACCTTCTTGAATTTTTCTGGAACAACGCATCCTCATCAATTGTGAAAAATCAGTGGATAATATTAAGTTTTCGAGAGATACACACCATTTCAATTTGATACTTCTAAATGACATGATCGTGTGTCGTTATTGCTTCTGGATGCATGATGTTTCATCCTTTTCCCTTGTGTCATCGTTTGTAAAGAATAAACGGTTTCCAAGCGGAATAAATCCGGCTCGGAAACTATATGTAATCCTGCTTCCGAAACAAGAATAAGATCACGGAAAGTCTCCTGCGCGTCGCTTTTATTGCCTGTCCTCAACGAACGAAAGGCGAAAGGGAGCAGAAAAGAATAGGTATAATGCCAGAAAGAGGGCTGTCAACTACATACACAGCAGTATAGTTCAACGGCGGGAACACGTAAAGATGCCACACACAGCAATTGAGTTTCTTTTGCCTCGTCCGGAACGAATACGTAACGCGCTTTCAGTCGGGATAAGCATCAGCGACACTTGCTGCAGCAAAGGCGGGACGAGAGAGGGTTTCATATGCGTCGAATGTTTCATTCACTTGTTTAAATTTCATCTTTGAGATCTGATGCGTTGAGATAGAGACGAGTGACCATCAATAAGCATGGTCGAATTCAAGCTGTCACCGCACGCCTCTTCCTGCCGAAGCGCATGAACATGTGCTCGTACTTGTCATCGCGCTTCACAGACGGGTCCATGACTCCGTTCTTCTCCAACAGCTTCTTTCCGGCCAGGAACTCTTCATCCAGTCCGACTACTTTGACAGCACAAAACATGTCAGGATACAGGCAATGAACAAGAGACACATACTGTACTGTAGAATACAAGGGAACATTACGGCTCAAGTTTAATGTGCTCTATATAATGCTCTATAACAGTGTTCCCAATTCCCCCGGCCCGCGGACTGGCGCCAGTCTACATAATTTTTTTTTCAGGTCCGCAGGAAAATTTCCAAGTATAATAAATTCATAAAAAGTAGCAAAGAAGTCTGCTATCTTTATCTGAAACTTCAGAAAGACATTGGCACTTTGAATTATCTGATAAAAAAGAAAATTTGGCTTTTCTCATAATAACACTTCAGATGAATTTTCACTTGCTGAAATACATTATTTTAATCTTTCCTTCTTAGAAAAATTTATTCAAGCCAACCTTTCTAATTTTTGAAAGAAATTCCAGCGTATGCCAATGAAGGAATATCCAAGAAAGCATCCAGAAAATGCATAAGGAGGCTTGAGGAGAAAGCATTCGAGTTAGGGACGTTTTCAATGCATTGTTTCCAATGTACAGTAATTCAGAAAGGCACAAGAAAAAAATGGCACAATCATGTACTGCATTCGACTTAGGGAGGTTTGAGTTATTAAGGTTCAACAGACAGAATACCAGAGACCATGGAATTCCTCTTGCGTTTGTAAGATTTTTATAATTAGGTTTGACAGCGATGGGGTGTAAATTATAATAACTCAAGTATAATCCGTACCAGAATTTNTTTTTCTCTTTGTTCCAACCAAGGCGTGAAAAAATTCTAAAAATTTCTTAGAAGACATCGTCGCGGTACATTAAAATTATATGCCTCGAACGGCAGTAAGTGCAAGACTAAATCCCATGAATAATTTCAACTATCCTCACTCCGCTGCTTGATTCATGCTGCACTCAGCATCATGACGCATATAACACACAGTTTTTTCATGACTTACAATACACATTCTGAACTCGGCCAAAAAATGATTGAATGGCAATATCCGACATGCACATACAATCCATCACTACATACGAGTACGACTGCACTTGTTATTACCTCATTACATATGAGTATACCCCGGATATAGACGCCCACCCACAAAAAAGATGACTTTTTTCTAATTTCAAGAAAATTGTGCCAGGAAGCTGTGTATGCGTCGAATAAAGAAGATGAAAGGCAGCTATTTGATTTTATTTCGTGTTTTGCATTAATAAAGTCTGCTATACTGGAACAACGCGAAGAATATCTAAGGGTTTACGATCACTGGACATGCAGGTGCATTATAACCTCGGGCTACACTGCGAAATTGCTTCATTACTTCGTTTATTTTCATCTGCCAGAGAAAGAAACCCGTCCGGAATGTCAAAAAAATAGACACAGTACAGTACTATATTTACTCTATAATAGGCTACATTTTACCATGAAAAATAAAAATGCGTGTAAATTCCTGGGTGTGATTTGCATTAGTCGAAAAATTTGCGAATATGCGGCCACACTCATCATATGAAAGAGAGAACATTAATCTTCAACTTACTTAAGATCGACGAATGGAAAGAAACCTGGTTACGGGAAAATGACCAGGATACAAAAAGCCCGATAAGGAAAAAAAGGCAAGGAAATTTTCTTTAGACGATGTTCTAACTTTTTTTTTAGACATGCAACTTATTCCTTGTTGCGTGAATATTTGAATCTGCATTCATCCCATCAAAATGTTTATATCGTATTTACTCCAATACTGCGTTCCAGATTAAGATGCGCACCTTAGATTTTGATCGAAAATTTTTCGAAAATTGTATCTCCGTAAAAGGCACGCACCTTAGTTTCCAGTTCCCAAAATTTCTGTTTGAAAAACTGTCTCGGGTTAAAAAAAAAAGAAGTAAATTCGAGCCCACTTGAAAATCGAATTCAATGGTGATATATTCGTTTCACAGAAAGAAGAGCATCATTAAAATAGAGAACTCTGAAAACATTCGAAATTAAGAAGGAAAGTTTTCAATTGTTTTTTTTTATTTCATAAAAGTTTGTATCATCCAGCTATGATGCCCATCTCATTTTTTGCCCTATTAAATAAAAAAGGTCAGCGTGGTACTCGATTAATAAATTTGCAAAACAGGTTGACTCTCTCTCTACAAAGAAACTGAAGGGACCAGAACATTCGCTGTAGAGAGAGTTTTGTTGCAGACAACACATGTGGAAAGAACCCTAAATACGGGACCAATAAAAAATTCTTTATACAGAGAAAATCGTTGCAAACAAGATTATTGTAGTAAGGGACCAGAACATTCGCTGTAGAGAGAGTTTTGTTGCAGACAACACATGTGGAAAGAACCCTAAATACGGGACCAATAAAAAATTCTTTATACAGAGAAAATCGTTGCAAACAAGATTATTGTAGATTCATGCCAAATGAAAGAACCGTTTCATGCGGAGAAATTCGTCGCATTATTTTTCCTCTTCAGGATTCCCCAATTTGAAGCTTACGTAAAAATTCCGATGAAGCTTTTGTAAATGACTGCCCGGAATTTTGCTGCGGCCCATAATTTCGTTAAAGCGAAACACGATATAAAAGAAATAAATAAATAAATAAAAGAAAAACGAAAACATACCTCGACGGAGGGCTTCTTCGACCGTTTTCTCATCCATGACGTCAGCCATCTCGACGAGAGTGTCGAGTGCGATGCAGAGTCGTTGCGAGGCCGGCGACAGCGTTTCGAAGCGCTCCGTCATGCACTTCTTGGCCTGGGTAGTGAAGAAACTCGCAGCTGCGGAGGCGGTCGCCACTGGTCGGGCCACTTCCGCCGCCACCATCAGCACCACGGCCGCCATCACCAGCAAATTGCGTCGAGCTTCGGCAGGCATGTTTTCCCGATATCTCGCTGTATCTGATGGGGGGTACGAGAGCCGAGATACAGTATACGAGAGGTTACACGGTTCCGCGCGGATTAGCTTGTTAATTGATGGAGCAGGGAATTTTCAATAATCTCAATTTCTTCAGGGTTCAGAATTATTTTTATCTATTATTTTTTAATCCTTCAACGGCTTGACATTTTTGATTTCCACCTTCAGAATAAAGTGGGATTCTGTTCTGTTTCATGCCATTCTAAGGCGGTAAGAAGTATACTGTACCAAATATTCCAGTTTTTTGCAAAATTGATGCTAAAAGCGACAAATGCTCAAAATCAAAAAATTTTTGGTTCTCAATGAGTCTGAGAACGAAAACAATCCTTTATACCATGCAACGAGATTATCGTATTTTCTCGAATTTAAAAAACCAATAATTTTCGGATAAAACTCAGTTATTTGTGCCTCGTAAAGGAAAACATCTTTGCTTGCGAATGTTAGACGCATTTTCAAATAATTGAATCTTTTCAAATGAACATAGGTCTGTTGATTCTCCTCATACTTGAAGGTATCAATCGAATCAACACTATTCCTGCTGAAGTACGGATCTAAATCTTTGGATCTGAGACTAAAAATGTTCATGATGATTTGTCTAATATGTGTACAGTTACTGTATTTCATTCACAAGATTGTGCAGGTGAGGAACAATCATGACACTTTTGCGAATCATCTGACACGTCTGACAAGTACAGGATTGAATATAAGACAGCAATCCTCCTTATTACAGAATCGAATACTGTACCTGGAAATTTCAGGCGCTCATTCTAAGGAAGAACAAAAAAAGGCGACAAGTATCCAAGGTTTTGAAGCCTCAATCGATGGATAAATTTAGAAATATATTTGCTCCATAAAGCTAATATCAAATGCATCACTCTGGATTCATCATTCATCAGGTAATCACAAGAATAACATGTATTTTATCCAGAGTTCGATACCCATCACTCGCATGCATGTCCGAAAAATGCGTCCCTATAAAAAAAAGGATCAACAAAATTTCCGAGAAAATTCCCTTCCCTTGGCATTCGATCCATCGTCATCTTCGTCTCCTGGGAACGTGATGGTCTTAGATTTGATGGAAATGTAGCATTTCCTTACGTCGGGATGCTGTCACATCTAAACTCCATGTTCTCAAAAACGGATTTTATAGGAGACAACTTCGTCGGCAGTGAACATTTTCTCGTAAAAGTACTCGTTCACACGAGACTGGACGGGTTGTTCATAAACTTCGATTGGATTTATCGGCAATACGCCAGTTCGGAGGATGGATGTATTTTATGCTTGAAATAACTCCCGTCAAATTATATTTCGAACACATGTTCCTTTACAAAACAGCTCGTTGAGACACGCGAAGGTCTTGATACTTCATTGAAGTTACACTCATACAAATTACCATTTTTAGATACAATAGTTAATTACAGTTTGCTTTTACTTTTCTCCGCAGTTTTTGATTTAACTCAAATTTACCGACTTCTTATGCTCACGACTAAAATAAGAAATACCGTGTTAGCGAAGACGTGATTATAATGATATTTGAGCTTGTCCTTCGCCTTATTAAATTTTAATTTTAGCAAATTGACGTGGGCAATTTTCCAAAATTCCTCGACAGTTTTCTCATCAGCATTGCAAATTTTTTTTAAAGACATCTCCAAGCTGCCAATTTTCCGACTTTTTTAATGCTGAAGCTTCCTTTACTATTTTTTAAGAAAACTACTGTTTTTGAAATTCAAAACTCTCTGGCTGTTGCTTCAGAAATGCAATAATACACTTAATAAAAAATTGATTCTAATAATCTTTAAACCTATAGGTATGCATGAGCCAATAAGAAATAAGCGCCAAATAACAAAAAAATCCTCGATGGCCAAGCTCTACCGTTGAGCCAATTACTCCTGCTTCAATTAATTTTTTTCTTTCTTCTATTTCACCCCAAGGTCTTCAACTAAAATAATTCAAGGTTTCTGATGAATTATTCAGTACCAGAATTCGAAAAATTGCACAATTTTTTTCTGATTTCTATTGATTACCTTGATCAACTTGAAAAATGAATGGGATGATTCTTGAAAATCATAACCGTTCTCAGCACCAATTTGCAAAAATGAACTTGCGTCTAAACCAAATAAAGGCATAAAAATGAAAGGCATTGAATGGAAAAAATCTGAGCTCATCAAACAAAAGCTCGGAATTTTAATTTAAAATTCAAAGTTTCAGAAAATGCGTCTACAAAACAAATTGAAGTGAATCACTAAACATATAAACATGCTTTTAGGGATGTATATCAAATATCAGAGACCTATATAATAGTTTGTCAACCTGTTGCCCAACAAATCTCGAAATGCTCATGCAATACCGTATATCTAATAAATAAATATTAATATTTTAATGGAGGACGGAGAGATAGAGCGGATTTCCTGAAGCTGATAACATTTTAAAATAGAATTTTCTATTTTAAAATATAGAATAGCATGCTTAAAGAATAAAAAAACCAAAGAAGGCGGAATTAAAAAAAAATGAAAATATTGTTTCTTACACAAGCAAGAAAATCAGGAAAGATGAGCAAAATAATATCGCGTCTCCCAGAAATAAACCAAGCACGAAACTGGCTTCGTTGGCCGTGGCAGAAACACCACAGGGCTTGGCTATTGATCTCCATCATGCAGCCCCAGGTGTGTTAGGGTTCAAGGTAAAAAAAAGGGTGAATCCCTGTGCCAACGACACTGACGAGTTTCGGATTAATCTCGTCGACAACGTCGAGCCGAGCCGAAAAAAATCCCTGCTCTTTATAAATTCCTCGAGCGCGAAATAAAAGGGAGAAAAAATTTTTTTACAGCGGAATTCGGAAGCATCTGCTGCTTCTCCGCTCATTTATTTTCCACGTGGAAAACGTATTTCGCCCAGCCCGAGATTTCTTTGTTGTTTTCTTTCATTTTGCTGACTTTTGCTACGCTTCGGTTCTTAATTTTTTTTTTTACCCGCACTCCAGCATCTTCCTCCAAAGCCTTTCTTTTCTTTCTTCTTCTCACAAATCATGTGATGCCAACACGAAAATATACGCAATGTCGTCGGCAAAGGAGTTCAATTACGGGCACATGAGGAGAACCCGCGTGCCCGGCGCCCATTGAAGTACTTTTCACGGTCGGTAAAGTACGATACTATAGTGGCATTGTTCGCAGTGAATGTCGAGGGTGTGTAGGTGTGTGTGTGTGTATTGTGGACTGCCTTGATACTAATGGGCAAGATGTACAAGCATTCATAGTTTTATATGTTTCCTGTGATCATCAGCAGATGAGCGTCCTTAACCTTAGCTCCGGTTCACGTGCTTTAATCCGCGGAACACCGGGTATATAGAGAGTCGTAAAAACTGAACAAATTGCGCGTGACCAACTCAATTATGTTGCATCCTTAGAAGAAACAAAAAAATTAGTAGTACAAAACAGAGGAAGGGGCGAGGGTTTTATGCGCAATAAACTCTAATTTTTTTTTCTAGCGGAACAAATCGGATTTCTCTTGCGAAAAGAAGGGTATTTTGCACGCTTTTTTGGGGTGAAGAAGGGCCAATAAATCTTGAAGTTTTTTTTTCAATTTAGATCTCTAGGGTCCAAATGACGACTTTTACACCTTTTTTTGATTTACAACTTCAAAAACAGATATTTCTGCCTCTTTCGTGTTCCATGTCTAACATGTTACCACCTGTGCGGAGTTTTCCTTTAGTCTTGAGGTCTCTTCATTGTTAAATAATAACTTTTCAGCAGCATTAAAAAAAAAAATCGATATTACTACACAGAAATTCACTCCTTAATTCAAGTTAAAGCTCAGAATGTTATAATTTTTCGAGAATAAAAACGTATCCCAATAATTCCGCAGTTGGGATCAGCATGGGTTTCATTTGAAAAGAGGTTCAACACCCGAGTGCCCGTGATAATTTTGGTTTCTGAGGAACCGTTCCGCAAACCACCGTGTGTCTCAATACAGGAGTATGTGCTGTTTTGGAGACACATCAAATACGGCTGCTAAATTTTTTTTTATTAACTGCAGATTGATTTCAATAAATGAATCAAAATACAGTAATTAACCTGGGATGGGATGAATAATTAGGAATCTCGAAATAAAATTATTTTATTTAGTCCCAACACAAATCCCGACTCAAACTTTTGAAACACACCTTCAAAGAGCAACACCTCATGAAAGACGGATATGATTAAAATAGAAAACAGACTCAAGGCACTTTATTTATTGGCTTTTTTTGGTTTTCGTAGATCATCTTGGCTAGTACCTGGTTCTGAAAATCGGGTAATTTAGAGGAGCTCGTGATCGAATGAACATCTCGGAATTGAAGACAATGCGACACCTGGACATTTTGTTCCCAAAAATTGGAGAAGGGAGTGTTTGTTTGTGTGCCATTAAATCCTCACATGGCTTTTCCATAGCTTTTTTAGGAATCGCGTTATATTAATTTCAAATCTCAATTACTCAGATGCGTGATTCCCCAAAATGTGCCATGTACATCACCATTCGTGGTACGCGTACCATCCATTTAAAATTATAGCTTCAAGCAAAAAATAAAAATAAAATAAAATTGCAGGACACAGTTTAAGACCACAGACGACCGACTCGCTTTGATTCTATCTATAATGACACTGTCTTCACGCCTCTCATTTTTCTGGATCAAATATCCCATTACAGTTTTTCTGGATCAAAGTATTGCATCACTGGGTTTTCCTGGACGTCTGGACAAAACTATTAATGATCTTAGCGAGATAAGTCATCTTACGTTACTCACTTGCTGAAGGCTGAGGGAATCCCGAATGGTGAAATCGCGATTATCTGAACTATTTGCCTTGTTTTTGGGTTGATCAAATTTACCTACTTCAATGGTTTTCTTTTAAGAAAAAAAAATATTTTCAGTTTCGGGAGTTATCTCACCTCGATTGTCAACGATGAGCCACACATTTTCTAGACGTACATCCTAGAATTTATGTATAAACAGAAAAATAATTTGGTTTTATCTGTTCCCCATGAAACAATGCCATGAACAAAATAAAAAAAAATGAATCGAAGAGAGGTGAAGAAAACGTTTCAGCAAACGAGAAAATTCTGTCTGCTTTTGCTTATTCTTGAATCAAATCGAAACTTATTTTCTCAACGATTCAATATTGAATTAAAAATAATAATTAAATCTTTAATGAGTGCGTTTCACTGGAACATTTTCACAAAAAACTGAATATGATCATAGCCCATAGGGATTATTTTTTGAGTGAACGAGCAAAGAGTTGATCGAAAATAACGTTTAAGCTTCTTCTACGTCCGATGTAAAAAACCGTCATAAAATAAGTTATCCATTTTAAAAGATTTGTTCACTTGAATGTAATACATTCGACAAGATGTAAATGATTTCACGTGAAAGTAAGGGAACAGTTCCACCTAATGAGCATACAGCAAATACAATTTATTCGCTCAACAGTAAAGAAACACGGACGCTTTTTCTCAGATTCAATTCTCAGGTTTGCTGAATTTTTTGTTTAAAAATAATTCTTCAACAAAATGAAAATTTAATGAGCATACAGCAAATACAATTTATTCGCTCAACAGTAAAGAAACACGGACGCTTTTTCTCAGATTCAATTCTCAGGTTTGCTGAATTTTTTGTTTAAAAATAATTCTTCAACAAAATGAAAATTTCAGACACATGGGAAATCAGAAAAAGAGATTCCAACGAACGAGCAGCGAAAAAAAAATGTCTTACCTCATCAGTCAATTATATCGGACCCTTTTTCTCTTCGAGGTCCAATTTTTCCTATCTTTACAGAAATCTCTGGGAGCGACAAAATGGCCGGAAATCCTTTATTTATATGAAATCCTCTTTCTCTTTTTGTTGTTGTTGTTCACTCCAGCCAGTCAGAAGGGGAAAAACTACCACCCATTCGGGAATTTCATTAGACGACACCGAAGATCGCAGCATCCTCTTTACGCAGGGTTTAACGCGGATTACGCGATAATACATCCGCACGGTATCTGCGTGTCGCGGCCCATTTCGGGTTGCAGGGAAACGAAAAACCTAGGGTCATTTCATCTTCGATCCCCGAAGCAATATACAGTACAGCAGTAATGTTGTGGGTTTCATTTCCGTCGCTTTCATCGCGGGGAAATCGGGTTCGGCGCTGCGGTTAAACCTGGGATTTTCAACCTGCATTTTATTAGTACAGTACCATCTTACCGTACGTGACCAACAGGTAAGGCGGTGAATTCAACCTGCTTTCGAGGTAGACATGGGGTGTGGGGATTCGAAAAGTAAGTCAAAATAACCGGAAGTAGGAAAAATAACTAAATACCAAGTACATGAGAGAAAAACACTTGGGAAGAGAAAGACGCATGATCAGTGGAGAATTTACATTTGGATTTTAGACAGAGAATTAAATGACAACCACGGCGTTGAAGAAACAGACTATTTTGTGCTGATATTATCATGCAGACAAGTTTTTCGCGAGCAGTTGTTGACGTAAAACTGTCCTTCGTCTCAAACCCAAAATGACCTTTGACAAGGCAGTTCTAGATTAAATACCCACTATTACTCGCCGTTTTTCACAGAAAACATGAATACGTGAAGAGCAAGGCTGAACTCGCATAAAGTTATCAAATCTTTAAAAAAACGGGATCCGATTTTCGCCAGACATTTTTTTTCGATTTGCTTCATATTTATTAAATATTCCCCGAGTAAGATTAATAAAGTAGATCCGGAAAAACAATTGGGTTGAATACGATCCGATTATTTATTTTTAATGCGTTAATGCTCTAAGCAGTTTCTCAGCCTAAAAACATGAATTAACGGGGATTAAAAATTCAAATTTTTCGGTTTTCCTGCAACTATTTTGGAAGATTAATGACCGTAATTTCAAATAATTTCAATACCCCCAAAAAGTTTCTCGTCAAAACAATTTTCAGAGAAAAAAATCAGCGCCACCGAAGCGCATAATTTTTCGGTTTTCCTGCAACTATTTTGGAAGATTAATGACCGTAATTTCAAATAATTTCAATACCCCCAAAAAGTTTCTCGTCAAAACAATTTTCAGAGAAAAAAATCAGCGCCACCGAAGCGCATTATTTTGGAAACCGAGATATCCTCGGACTGTTGATGTTTCCTAATGCTTTTCTCGTCAGAAAGATGGATTAATAATTTAAACAGATGCATGTTTAATTTGCACGCCCCCGCCAGGGAATCATATTTGCAAATTCAGGTGACTCGATTTATTTTTCAACAGAAACCGCCTGACGCGGAAAAAATATTTTTTTCCCCCAACGAGGAACTGGATAATTCAAGAAGAAACTTACTACCTCGCAAAAAATATCGTGATATTTTTTTTGGATAAAATTGATCATGAAAAACTGAAACTCCCACAGAAAGCCGGAATTACGAAAAAATCTAGCTGAAAATCTTGCTGGTAATTTTCACGTTAATTATGTACGCGTACGCAAGACAAAATTAAATATTTTTTAACGAAAATAATTAAGCTCAAGATAATTTCGGCAAATCAGCATTTATTCTTGAAATTATTTTCAGGACAGATAAAAAATAATCACTAACATGAAACGGATTACAAATTTCAAGATAATTTGATGCGTGTAAGTATGAAAAATGTGTTCAGGTACATTAGAAAAAAAATAATTGCTGCCATTCAAAATAATGGCATTTAATTTTTTAAACCATGCAACTGAAATTTAGGATATTATTTTCGAGCAACAATCGTTTCGAAACGAATCTGACTGGCAAAAGTCTCTATTCGATATCAGTTGTCAATGCGTATCCGAAACTTTCAGAGAGCTAACTAAATTAAATTTTCGTCTCCAATGAAATTTAAAAAAAATCTGAAGCGAAAAATTCGACAATGAATCCGTATCATTCATTTAAAAAGTGCCTGATGTAAGTTTTGCGAAATTTCGTGGAATTCGATTAAATGCCTCACATACGAAGTTAACTTTTAATTGAACAGACGACGCAAAAAAGTTCCGGCAGCAGTTTCGCAGAGAATTCTCGTCAAAGATTACATACGCCTATCAACAACCAGGGTGATGATAATGTTCGAAAACATGTTATGCACGAAATTCTGTCAATCGGCAGATCATTTTCTTCTATTAAAAATGTTCAGCCCTAACAATGAAGCATTGAACGACAAAATTTCTGAATATTCAAACATTAAAAAACGACAACGACGTCAAAACACAAAAAAAATTTCCAAAATGACATGTTCTCGACAACCAAAAGTAGTAAAACTCAATGCACAAGATGCTTCCAGCAGGAAAACCATTTTCATCTGCCTCGAGTTTCAAAATTCTAAACGAAGAAATGCGTGAACCACGCAGAAATTCGTGATTCATCATTGCGGAGGAGACAAATAAATTCCGCCGTTTTAGAAGAATATCCGCCTAATGACAATACAGTACATTATGTCAGCCGTCTCAAGAGTGAAATGAAAAAAAAAAATTATGAAAAAAATTCCTGTCTTCGGAGAAGGGTTTTTTCGAGCAAGATGTCCAACGTTGCATGCAACTTATGATTCATCCAAGACATTCTATACTCGCACAGATTTCTAGGATTTAAAAAAGGATAGAAATGAGACTGAATACAGTATTTCGACCAAGTCTGAAGAAACAGTAGCGAGGGACAAAAGATAGAAAAAAAACCAGCAATACTTCCAAAGAGAAGAAAAAGAAAAAACACAAGCGATTTTCCCAGAGCATCGCGATTAGACAATCTGTTGCGAAGTTTTAAGAATGATGTCAACTGATATAAACAGAGAAAAATCTCTCTTGTTGTCATAGAGTAGAATCTTGTCACAATGAATCTCGTTATAACGAATAATCCCTTTCGACAAACTCGTCTTTTAGGCCCCTTCTGCCCAATAGCCGCACTATTAAATGGGTTACTTTTTAACGCCATTTTTCGTTACTGTAAAATGAAGCTACTTTACTGGTCCCTGTAACTTCCTTGTAACGGGATTCAACTGTATATTATGAGGTTCGAAATGTCGACCTAGATTGAAAAAAAAAATAGATGAACAAGAATGTATAAACAACTCACCAGTTTCGTTGTTGAAAAGATGAAGGCAAAATCGGACCTTTTCTGTCGATGGGGGTTTTTTTCAGAAGTAAAACAACGACTCCTGCTGTTTTTTTTTTAATAGAAGGCAATCGCGGCTCACTGGGGCTCTCGAAAGATTCTGATCGGCCACCGAGCCCGGCGGGTTCTTTTCATTCCGCAACCTGGAGATCCCTCTCTCTCTCTCTCTCCGTCGTTCTCTTCTCTGCGAAAGAGAGCGAGGGATCCTCCCGGCCCAAAAGGATCACATCCGAAAGAGGGCTTCTCAAAACTTTTCTCCGGCTGCACAAATCCGCTGGTGCAGTTGATTGAAACGTAGCTTTCCTGTTCTAAAAAAGTATTTTGATTTAAAAATAATTGCGTCAGTACGCGAAAAACGGCTGGATTTGCTGACTGACTTTGTATGTGCACTACCCTATTGAAAAAGGGCGCGTACATACGCATTTCTGAAGCACTTTCTGGGTGGTCTGTCAGTCCTGAAAAGAAGGAAATATTCATGGAATACCTGCTCTCATCCAGGACAAAGCCTTCAACCCTTCAAATGATGCTAGAAAGTATTTGTACCAAGTGTGCTTGGTACTAATGTATATATTTTCAATTAAATGCTTATAGGGGAATTTCTTGCATAATAGAGTTTGTACCTTGCAATTAGATCTCCTGCAATTTGACTGTCCTGCAATCCATAGATCAATTTTGCAGGGAGGTTGACCTGCAATTTGACCTCTGCCCTGGAATTTGACCTGCTTTGGCCACTTTTTTCACATTTTTGTGCTGATATTTCTCCATTTTACAAAATGTCTTGCAATTTGACTGCTTCACAATTTGACCCCAGCCTGGCAATGGATTAGGGTTGAATTGCAAGGTACCACCAGTACAGCCCAATCTATTTCTGTTATTCAAATTTCAAAAAATCAGACATAAAAGTTTAGGGTGGTTTCTGGTAAGGGAACCAATTATTTTTGGTGAGGGAAAGAAAGAAGTAAAATAAATAGTGATTGGTGATATTATGGTCTTTAAAGTTCTTCTTAAATGAATTAATAATATGATAAATCATTGGAAGCAGGGGTTCATTTGCCCACTTGGTATTTTACTTCCTTTCAAAACACATCATTACTTTTTTGCTTTTCTCTTCCCTATGTCAAGAAAATAATAGCCAAAATGCTTCAGAAAATTGGAGTTTTGAAGGTTTGAGGGGATAAGAAACTTTGACTGAGAGAGGCTTTTAATGCACTATTTATAAATAAGGGAATTTAGACAGGGACTTTAAAAATTCAACTTGGGGAGGTATACTGTATTTGACTTTGGTATGTTTGAGCTTATTGAGGTTCACCTGTACAGTATTTCCATTATTGAGGGACCCAGTGTATATAGTTCACAATTGATAACAAGACTTTGAGAGCCTCTTGTTGGGGGAATAGCAGAATTTTTGAGAAGCCCTGCCAAACGTATGCTTTCCTGCGCAGGTGTCGCCTCACCTCTCGACCACGCCCACACTTACAACTGCCAATCCCGCGAATCCCACGAAACGAAAGACAAAATAAAACCGGAAGCTGTCCCGAGATCACTTGGATCTCTTCAGCGGTACGTGGTGACGACCATCCGAGGAGAAATTTCCCACGGGAAGATCGGCACCATGAGATGATGAAGCGTCGATCTAATTTCCCACCGCCCGCGGGTGTCGAAGATGCCAACATGCTCCTTTATTCGTCCAACTCTCGAGAGAAACATTTTTGCAACGTCGACCTTGAGGAGTTTCGGAGAGGAGAAACCCCCCGCGCTGTCGGGTTCTGTTTGCCGCAACCCGGGGAGCTATACAGCACCGGGTTCTGCAGCATTCTTCAGCCGGCTATATGTCGCTCCTTGCTGCGTTCGTGGGAAAATTTAAACCTGAATGAACGGACACTCGGATTCCAAAAATATATACAGTGAGACCCTCACCTGCGGACACCTCGATCTGCGGCAAATTCGACATTGGGACACTTTATTTTATCATAAAAAATTAATAAAAAGGCCTGACATGAGGACACTGACTCAACATAAGGACATTTTGTTATAAAATTTCAAATACATTTCAGGCCAAATTACAAGAAACAGATACTTCCAACCCTAAAATTGATGTAAGAAAAGTTCTTCGGCATTTCTCTCACCAATTTACCATCCATTTAGCTAATTAATGACAATTTTTATTTTCATGGAATTATGGTGAGTATTTTGTTCATAAAACATCAATTAAAAATTATGTAAAGTAAGTCTAAGGGAAAATGAGACTCGACTTGGGGACATTTTGACTTAGGGACACTCTTTATACATCAATTACGTCCGCATCTCGGGGTCTGTACACGGGTGTCTCACGCCATCGTCGGGAAATGTCGCAAAAAAGATTTTAAGACTGTAAAATGTTGTAGAAAAATATCTAAACACATTTCTGTGATTAACAATCGCTGTATTCCGAAAAATCCCGACCCCGAACTTAAGTATTCACTGAACCCTAATTTTCGCCGATATTCCATATGTAAAACAGATTAATAAAAATACGCAAATAAGAAGTGCACGATTTGAAGAAAACGGAAACTTTTGGAGGGAATCTGCTGTTTTTCCAAAAGCGGAATTTCGCAAGATAACGATTTTATTAGCAGGCGGAGAAAAGGTAACAGACTTGTTTTGCAGCAGTTTCAACATTAACGAGAACAAGAGACAGCGTCATTAAAATATTTAATTGTCGTGAGCCAAACTGGAGAGTAATTGACTTGTACTTCGCATATTTCCAAAAAGTACTGACTACGAATTGCACTGGCGAGATTAAAATGCAAATTTTGTTCTCGAACATCTTCAGTGCTTGCCGCAACGAAGTTTCTTTTAGCTTTTATTTTAGGATGTTGCGGGACATAATTCAAAATATTATGGCATCACAGTTTAAATAAATACGACTTGAACTGCTGATGGAAAAATAGACGTGGCCAAAGTTAAAACTCATGAACACGTGGAAACACTCTTCGAGGTGTTTGCCTCAGACGATATCGGCATAACATTCTCGCATGTTCTTCCAAAAAATCAGAAATTTGCACACTTCTACAATAAAATGAGATCAGCCTGCGCCTCAGGTCGATGATGTCCAGAATTCGATTAAATACGGAATTTATGTAAAGTCAAATAAGATCGTAATTTCTTTTTTTGTATTCTGAGAAGCAATTGAGTGGAAATACTGTCCACGTTTTCTTCTTGGAGGTACAGCTAATAAAACATACAGTACAATTTCATATGTATTGATTATGCACTACACACTTTGATCGCTTTTACTTTCATGTCCTTTTGTTAACTTCAACCAAGTGCCTCAACTTGGCTACAGATGCAACTGTCAGTGTCCGAAATACAATAAGTTACTTCTTTTGTTGAGGGAAAGTCAGAAAGACTTCCATCAGCGACTGAGTTCCTCTTGTATGCGCTGGAGAACATATCTGTACCCATCCAGTGTATATGCATTAAAAAAAATAATGTCTTGCTCCTAATATGCCCAAAAAAACACAACAATGAGGAAAAATATTCATTCATGGTGACGCAAGAGGCAACCAATAAAGCTCTTCTTAGCACAGCAGATGCATGCGAACAATGATCCATCAGAATAATTTGTCAGCAAAAATACGTAAATAACCTTAGAAGTATTCGGACAGCTGATGCTCAAGTTAAAACCACGAATGAAATGGGAATACAAAAGAAAGAAAAAAACTATATCCTGAAAAGAAGTGAAGAAGCAGGTGCGAAAATACGAGAATTTTTGCAGCAAGGAACACGACCAGCTCTTTATTCATGGAAGAAAGGCGTCCACAAATTTAGACTTACTGCAGGTGGACTCTCTCACGAAAAAATTCTAGCAACCAGAAAAAAATCGTTGTAGAGAACATTTAGTTGTAGAAAACCCTGTTAATTTGGGGAAAGAACCCCATTGGACCAAGAATATATGTGTACACTGTACAGATGAGAAAATCATTGTTGACAAGATTGTTATATAGAGAGAGTCCACTTTATGTTTTTTAAATTCACGTGACATTGAACCAATGGACAGCACAGATATCAAAAGACAAATCAATAAATAAGACAATCATTAATGATTGTATCATTTATTTATTCTCCGTAACGATTCAGCTGACAAAAAAAAAGACGATTCTATCCCGGGCTCATGTTGGCAATACTAATTTCATCAACAAACATGAAACCAATGAAAAATACAACATCTGCATAACTTGTCATTGCCATATCTCAGAGGAACTCCGGCTATACTCGTATGTTATTTAGAATACTGTTTTTCAAATCTTCGATTGCTTACAAAATTGAATCCGAGGATGAGGATTGACTCAAAATGTAAGGAACATTCTGTGGGATAACTTGGGCACTGGGTACAACAAATATTTTTCCCTGCACGCGGATCAACATACAGTAAACGCATGAAACACCTGACTGACATTCAGTATTTATTTCAATACTTGAAAACTCTCCTTTATTGACGCCCGACAGAAAATAATTCCAAACTTGAATTTAAAAAGGTGAAATATCTGGAAGAGTTCGCTGACCTCGCCGGAGATACACTTCATTCATGGAGAATTCTCGAGACGAATTCACGAATACACGGCTTCAATAACGCACACCTTTTGGCTTCTGAGGCTGAAATGAAACTCATCCATCTCAAAACCTGCAGTCAGAAATATCAAGACTCCCAAGATCAAAACTCGCCGATAAAAGACAAATAATTGAATCTACCACGACAGAGGGCAAAATAGCGGAACAGATTTTTCATGTCTCCACAACATTTCAAAAATAAAGCGAGGAATACAGCTATTTACGTACAGTATTTGTTTCGGTGAGGGATCCGCGTTTAAAGTCCTACCACTCGAAGTCAAAATACAGTACGTCTCATCCGCAAATATAAGAGGGTATGTTCAAAAGTTCCTGAAATTGCCCGAAAACTACAGGAATTCTCAAAAGCCGTCATCCCCGAATTCACTAATTTATTTTTCCTCCTTTTCCCTCCCACCAATTTTTCGAAAACGTACGCGTAAAATATGAAGATTAGTTAGAATGTGTAACTTCACAATCCGAGTGAGCAAATCATCTGCTTCATACGTGGTCCGAAAAGGACCAAGATTTTATGAAAAATACAGTTCTGTATTACACTATATAAGAAAAATAATCATTGGGAAACCAAGCTTCAACGCTTGACTAAAACAACTTTTCCATAATTGAAAAACCATTTTAGGAGTGAATGCATTCAGCAGGTGAACACTGACTGCAGGAATTTTAAAATTTATTTTCCCTCAATCAGGATCCAGGGCAACTTCAAACTTACCGCCTCGCATCTCTACGCCGTCGCGCGATTATGTTGCATACAAGTGGAATCTCTACAACGATTTTCTTTGCATGACGAATTTTTCGGTCCAATATATGGTTCTCTCCCCATGTGATAAGGATACTCTGCAACCAAATTCGGTCTACAACGAATTTTTTACCGAGCCCTAGAATTTCGTTGCAGAGAGTCCACCTCTGCATCTCCAGGTAGGTTTCGAGATTCATCTTTCAGAAATAAAAGCCAAAATTGATCAATAAACGAAACGAAGATCCCGTCTGCTTTCGTAGCCAATTTTTCAGCAAAATCTTTCCAACCTCAAACTCATGAGAATTCTCTAGCGCGCAAAAAAAAAAACCAGATAAAAATTGATCTGCAAAATTCTTTCTCGTCTCCCAACGGAAGGTCGTATAGTGCATCACCCATGCATTATACTCCCGCAATCAACCATATTACCTACGGGACACATTCCACGATAGCAGCGGGATCCTCTTTCGTTGATCAATAAAAATCCTCTGTATATACCCAACCATGGACTTCCCATATAGTCGCACAGCCTGTATGGCACAGTGTCACGCTTCATATACTTCGAATACCAACCGCTCGCCAGTCGCCACATTCCAGACAGGAGACGCATCACACACTGCAGCACGAAAAAGCGCGTCTTCTTTCATTGCGGCAACGCATGTCACCACTTGGGCCTCGCTCAGTCTTCCTCCACGAGGCAATAACAAGTAATTGTGGACCGAAATACGCCCGTAATAGAGAACCCTCATCTATGTCGCGCACTTCATGAAAAAATCTGGCCCAGGGAAACATATAAGTCCCAGCAACGGTGCGTTGCTCATGGCCAGAGCTCTTCAACGAATGAAATAAGCGATTCAAAAAAAAGGATAAACTGTGAGTGCTACATTCAGTCCGCAGATATTTCACGCGAAAAGAACACGGCACATGGAAATAAGTAAAATTCGTGCATGAAGTAATTTCAAAATGAAATAACTTGTAAAACTGGCAAAAATATTTACTTGAATGGTGAAAGCTTTGCAATGAAAACGTATACAGTGGGATCCCTATACATAATGAGATTAATGACGATTAAACTTAGGGACACTTGAAACGGGAAAAATCTACCCCGAAATCCGGGGAATGTCTCAAGATAGTGACACTTTCCCAACATTTCTTGAAACACTGCTTTCTTTTAAATTTTGATTCCTCTTGAAGAAATTGAGCAAAAGTAGAATCTCTTTATATTGAAACATTTAGGAACTTTAGTTTCGTTATTAACGAAAATTATTGTTGAAACGAAATTAAAATAACATAGCGATTATTGCAGAAAGGGACCAAAAAATCGTTGAAAGCATAACTTCGTCAAAATTACATTCGTTGAAATGAGATTTACATTCATGAGATTTAAAATAAATTTCATTATCAAGATAATCACAAAAGCAGGCTAATTTTGTGCTTCTTCTTTCATAATTTTTGTAATAATGTGTGCACAGCAGTAGACGACTTGTTATTTTATTTTTGAAATCCTTGCGATATCATAACATCAAATTCGCGTGGTTTTTCTTCTTCAGTTATTTTTTGTATCTTGTTAAAAAATAATTATGTGGACACTTCATTCCTTTTGCGATGAACAAGAGAACCACTTAAAAATTTTCCTCATGAAGTCTATCGGAAAATTGATTCGACATACGGATGCTCCGACACATGGACAAGGTCTTGTATATGCACCGATTACGTCCGTATCTCGAGGCAAACACTCAACATGAAAAAGCTGGGATATTTCGGAGCCATTTTCCCGCACGCAGCATTTTTCCATCATGTCCGAACAAATCGTAAATCACCAACATTCTGTAAATATTATTTATTTAACAATTGGATTCATTACCGCGGCGGGGAATAAATATTTGGCATTCCCCACAAATAAGAAGCGGAAAATTCACCTACGGTCACGAATAATGTCATGCAAGAAACACTGGAAGGGTGCACCAATAAGAATACATTTGCAGCCCTCTTAATAAGGCCACTGCCAAATAAACTCCTCCTTTTTGGTGGTCTGGACGAAGTCTCTCCTCCTCTGGGAAAGGGCATCGATCAGGAGTTGAAACTAGTATCTTTTCCCAGACCATATACTTATCAACAAGGTTTATCCTGGGAGACAATGCCCGTAAATCTAGAAGGAATTCCTGGGGATGAAAACCCTCTCCACTTCGGTTGTCCAGGATTAAACCCAGACGTTGGCAGATATTTTCGTCAGGGCAGCAGAACAAGGTTCGCGATCAGTTCTATCTCACCAATTATAAAGGAAATACCCAGTATAATCTCTACCAGTCCTAGCTTATCCTCTGCGTCAGAATACAGAAAACTTCCACTGGGAAATCATTCCTGGATTTGAGGTCTCTCCGGAGAATTCAAACCCATGCATAATGCTCAACTAATTTCTAAGCGTTTTTCAAAAATTGGAAAGCACCTTGGGAACTGACACAAAGAATGCATGATTTCCCTCATGATTTCCTAAATCCTTATCCATAGACAGATTATCCACCCTAAAAATAACTTTTGAATAGGAATATTTGGAATGGTCTAGAACAGCATTCCTCCATCTTTTCGCGCCCAGCAAGTTGGGCTATCTATTGAGTTCATATGAAATGAACTCAATAGATAGATCAGCAAAGTTTCATATAATTGTTGCCAACTCAAAAAGTTCTGCTTGAAAGACTTCAAGGCAGTTAATTAAAAAGTTTATAATTACTTTGCAAAAATTAAGTCAGGCACCAACAAAGCAGCTATAGCTAAATGTCATTAAAGATGGGCTTGAAGAATCCCTCAAATTAAAAAATTAAACTATTTTATATCAGCAGATGAAAATTTGTCTGGAGTATTAATTGGAGAAAATCCAACTTACATTTTTCATCAAATAATTGCAACTGACATTGTCTTTGCAAAATTTTAAATGAAGATAACAGACCTAATTACAGTACTGCTTTTGATAAATTTGTTATGCCAAAAATCCCCTAAAACTGGCAAAAATCTGTGGATTAGTGCTAGTCCATGGAACACGGGTTTGGGATAAATGGTCTAGAACAATGTTGTAAGATACATTTTACACAAACAAATCATAAGAAAAATGAGTAGGATACATTCATTCAATTAACACCCCAGCCATGAAGAAATGAATCTTCCCTACTTCAATTGATAATTCTCAAATCAATCTCAAAGGGCTTTAGAACTAGAAATACATTTTCGACAGAAAAATATTTATTTCTGCATAAATCAGTCTGATTCAACAAATAGTATAACACTGCCAAAATTTGTAGAATCACGTTCACGAAAAGTCAAAAAAAGATTTTTCATTTCAGAATACGCGTACAAACCCAATGTACTTTCTGTACCGTTATTGAAAAGAAAAGGCATCAAAAACTCGTGAAAAATTGTGACTGCGGTTTCTAAGCTTCATCATCTGGACAATCATGAAGCGCAAAGTGAACACAGTCCGACGTGACGCTGAGCATAACCTTTTGATAGATACCTTTCTTGCCTGATCCTTCGTTGATAACAATCCCACTTGATGCGAGATTTTCACACAAAAGCATCAACTGACGAGGTCCGGTACATTCAACAGCTAGATATACAAATAAGATTCGGTCAGCCAGGGATAATAAAAATCCGACCAACACTTCCTCACCTTCGACATGACACAAAGCTTTATAAGGTGCGTAAACGTCCATCAGCTTGGCGTCCTGCTTCCCAGTTTGCTCAAATTCGGCACATAAGGCTCGCAAAAATATTTGTTCCGCCAAACTGCAAGACCTACACAAGTACAGTATAATACAGAATTCAATCATCACGCCCAAAAAAATAAGAAAAACACGGAATTTCTCAGAGCGTGTTTTGAGAATAAAACTCTCAGCTGCAAAGATTAACGGAGATGATAGTTTTTTTTTTTTTTTTTACATGAATTTCAACTTGAAAAGGTTTCCTTCATACAAAGACGAACGTCTCGCGATTCCATTCACTCGAAGTATAAAGTGCCGAGCTTCTAAAAAAATAAGACCAGTCTTCCATAAAATAAATTGAAAACACAGAAGATTACCACCGAAATTAAGAGCTGGGTCAGGAAGGAATACTTATTCACATCAAAAGCAGTGCATGGAATTAGAATTCAGGCTTATTCAATGACTAGATCCTACTTTGAGAAACACGGCAGGAAATGCGTTTCCCGTGCTTGAAAGGCGATTTGATCGTACGAAGGAAAAGAGCTTTTGACATGCGGACAGGGAACTTTTCCAGATCGAACAGTTCCTCGAGAATTTCATCAAATTACACACACCTCACAGCAAGTACACCCGGTTCCGAAAACGTCTCCCGGATGATCTTGTTAATAATGTTCATGGTGACTTGGGCAGCTGAAATTGGCTCAGATTTCCGACCTTTCTTCGGAGTTGACAAAGACACAGGCTTCTCAGAATTCATCCGTTCGGCTTCTTCCGTAGCTTTTTGACAAATATTCAGTGCACGACGAGCATCACCAGACACAGATGCTACTTTCCTGAGAAAAAAAAACCAACGACATAAAATGAATCATCAAGCAGTATTATGACGGAAAACCACCTCGCAACAAGTTGGATAGCGTCCGGGTCAAAGCAATCGTTCTCCTCCAGTCGAGATTCAATTATTTTTTGGAGTTCTGGAAACGTGTAAGCGTGGAAAACCAACCGATCCAAACCCTAAAAACCGACATTCTTTCATTCCATGATCAGAAGACGGAGTACCTTCATCACTTACCAAACGTGACTGAACTCTGTTGATCATCATCCTTTCCGGAAGGTCCATAGTGTTCGCAACGGCGAGTATCACCAATCGTGAACCAGGCTTGTTCGGCCAATCGAATAGATTATACAAGAGATTTTGTTTGCGAGTCCAAAGATGATCCAGCTGCAATGGCGAGGAAAAAATTCTCAAGAGAAGACAAGGCAAAATGAAAAGCTCACGAGGCCGATTTTTACGTATTTCAACATTTCAAGGGATAGATTCAAAGAAAGAAAAAAAAAAAGACTCACCTCGTCCACGAGAACTAAATAAGATGGACTGGGTTTCTTCTTTTGGCTCCTAACTTTCTTGCCCTTTCCGAAATCACATCTAGAATCGAGAAAATCGCGGATTTTCTCGCAGGCATTCACTGGAGCCAAACGCTCTCCGTCTGAGATACCACTCCACAGCTCCGTGTAAGTCCGTTCTGGCTTCGTGATACGCATCCCATTGAGTTCGATGTACTGAAAAATCAAAAAATCAAGGTGATTGAATTTGTTATTAGAAATCAGATTTGTAGGTGAATGCAGGAGGGGATCTACCGATTGCACCCGTTGATTTTCACGCAGGAATCGTGAAATTACTTGTACTTCTGTCTGCACTAATTTTCAAGTTCATGACGACGCTGTTGAAAAATGATTTCCAACAATAAAATATTGTTTGACAGAACAACAGGTTTTTTCTTACCTTTGAGCAAGTTATGCAACAGATGAGTGCATGCATAAAATTATAATCCATTATTCTTCTCTTCCTCTAAGAGATCCTAACTTTATTCACGGCCTTCTTTGCCTTTAACCGAGGGGATTCCAGGATACAAAGAACACAGGCCTTAAAACCTCCGTGCATGTTTCCTGGTTTCTCCCCAAGATTAACAAGAAATAGCGGCGATTTCCGAACCAACGCCTCCTGCGTAATCGAAGAGACGCATTTTGAATTCCCCTCGAAAATATATTAGGCGTCGCTACAACATGTCACCATTAAACCAACGAAAAGAATTCAAATCGAGATCGTTGGAATGTATGCGGTAAATGTACGATAAACATGAACAGGGGGATTCACACCTTGAATTGTGGAATGTCGCCAACGTCTCTCGCATCTTGCAAAGCTCGTACCACTTCTTGAACAGTAGCCGTTTTACCCGTCCCGGGAACACCCGAAATATACATGCACCTAAAAAAAAAAATTGAAGATATCATAACACAAATTATGGAACATTGACAAGCCTACCCTCCAGTGCCGTTTTTAATGTGTGTTTCAGCAAATACGTAGATTTGCATGAATTCGTTTTCACGGCATGGAAGACTATCTGGAACTTTTGACGCGTGAAGAGACGCACGGGCTTTCATCAAAGGAGTCCCGGGCAACTTATCTTTCCCTTCGCGGTCCGGAAGTTTAATATTGCCGAACAAATCCTGCGGAGTTCATTCAGACAACCCGATCAGAATTAAAGACTCAGAATTACGTAACAATAACTTACTTTCACTTTTAATGCACTTTTACGGAGCGAAGATGCTTGTTTGCTGGACGAATTCAATTTACTACTTGATGCTCCTTCCGGAGTTGTCATAAAGTCATCATCGTCATCAACTTCTCGTCGAGTTTCTTTCATCGGTGTAGTCAAAGGGGTTCTGCAGGATGATCGTTTCGGTCTAGTTGGACTTGTTTTCGTTCTTTCATTACGTTCAGTGGAAAGTCCATCTTCGGGAAATAGGTTTTCTTTGTCGTCAGCACGAAAGTTCTTTTTCAATTTCAGTTTCCAAGATAGACCATTAATATCTGTCTTGTGAGGTGCTTCGGAAATCGTCCACTCGGTTTCATCGTCTTCATCTTCCAAAGAGTCCTCCAAAAGCGTCACTAGTTCCTTAGAAGTCAACCGCTTTCTTGTGCTTCGCTTTTCAGATTGAGGCGTTTCGACTTCAGCTGATCTCGTATCTTTGCGTTTCGGGTCTTTTGAACAATTTTGAGGAGGATTGTCAATCAGAACAGAATTGGGAATTTTTTCATTCTCAGAATTCGTTTTCTGGAGTTGTTTCCTTGCAAAACCGCGTTCACTTTTTGTCATTGATCGCTGTTCCGATCGGACTACATTCATGGATTTTGGAGTGGCGATGGATTCCGACTTCTGCGGATAAGCAACAAGCTCGCCATCTTTCTTGGCGTAGGCGAAACGTGTCACGAACACAGGATACTCCCCCAAATCAACTTCACTCATTACGACACGAGGATCTTGCTTTTCTTGAATTTTCACCAGCTAGAAAAGAGATACATTATCAAGCACACGAACCTCAAAACGTAAATGAGAATCAGTCAAAGAAGAAGAAAATAAAAAATTAAAACTCATCAATAAAGAAAAAGATGCTTCCCCTTTCTTTGCGAAGAATTACCCGAATTAAGGATAACAATGAAAATTTATTGGGCAATATCACAAGATCATTCGAGATGCTCTTCTCTAGTATCCAGATTACCGTAGGGTCTCTCTTCGGCAAACGGAAAAACTTACTTCGAACTTCCCCAGAAGAGATCCAACAGGAACTTCGGACTCTTCATCATCACATTCAAACGCTGCCTCGTGAAGAGGGAGGAAAGACGGATGAATACGGTCCAGTCCCTTGCACTCGTCAAAATCATGTAGACGCGAGAAATACCGGATTACTATGCCTAGAGGAAAGAATATACTGTGAACGAAAAAATAGTACATTCGGGTAACCGACATGCAAAGCAATGTCGGTGTTCCTGATCTTACAGTTGGTTTCTCGAACAAATCCACTAATCCTTGCAAGGTACACGTTCCCGATATCGTCTTCATCAACGTCGCGATCACCGTTGGACAACATAACATTGTCCGACTCGTGGAATTTCGTACCAGCCAACAAGCAGCTATAAAAATTCAATTTGCTAGAAAATAAAGATTAACACAGATTTGTCGACAAACCGCTTACCTTTTGCCTGTTTTCGAAATAACACCTTTCCCACACGTTTGGAACTTTTCACGCTGACACATGAAAAGATTGTTGGACAACTCCACATTTCGCTTGAATTTTTCGAGAGAAAATGGAGTCAGGGACGCTGGAAATTCATAATTTTTCGTGAATCGCGGATCTTTCATCATATTTAAAATAACTTAACAACCTTTGAAAAAAATCATGTCGCTAATCCACTGGGGAATAACGTGCTTTTTGGATCGGCGGTAGGACCAAGCGGCGTTCACATCTCGAAGTGATTTCAATGCTTTGCCGTCGTATGAAAATCTGGCCACGAAATACGTCGCACTTTCACTGACATTTTTGAAAGCTGATTTCGCATTGTCTTCCGGTCGAAGTTCCTCAACCTGGAAGAGATTCTAACCTGATAACCAAAAAGAAGTCCGCAGCATCTAAGCGCCAACGGCGAGTAAAAAATAAATAAGAGCGAAGACTTATTAAAAATGATGCTTACCACGCATTTCTGAAGTACCGACGATAAGGCAACGTCATTATCGAAAGGACGTTCTTCAAATATGAGTTCTTCGTCAATAAAACCAGGAATATCCACAGGTAAGTTTCTGAGAATTATCTTCTTGTCCGGCTTCGGCATTTTCAACCATTTCGTAAACCATGACATTTTTGCCCGATACCTCTCCAGTGCGAGAGGAGACTCTGCGTAAACGAAATTATTAACGTGTGTCTCCAACTCGAATAGTGAAGATACCCGCTCTACAAAATCCGGAACTCACCAGAATCGAAAACATCGTCGATTCGCCCAACGTAATCCTCATCGTCATCACCGGCTACAAGAACCGTATCGCCGACTTCTATAGTTTCTCCTTTCCAAACGAAGAATCTGAGATTTAATATAAAAACAAACTTATATTAATATGCATAACAATATATTGGCTCAAGTTTTCGAAGAGAAACTCACCTAAAATGTGTAACAAACCGTTCGTCTCTAGTCTCACACCGCAGTTCTATTGGATCACCATCTATATCGTAGGTCACGGCCTCAAAATTCATGGTTAACACTATGTCTGCTGATGGAAGACACGTTACAAGATTAAGTTCTTCGCTGTCGGGCAAAAATCGTTCGCGACACAAATTAACTACCAAATTGGCTTTAAAATTGCACTATCCCATAAGAACGAGAATTTTCAACGCTGAAATGGGTATAAATCAACGCCAAGTGGGAACTGTGAATGTTTCGGGGGGTCTTTCCACCCAAGCTCAATCATAGCTTGAACATCTTCGCGGTAAGGAGGAGGGAGAGCTTCATCAGCAAGACTGCAATTTCGCTGTTCCGACGGATTTTCGGCGGTCGTCACGAGAAACTTCAGGATATCCGGATCTCGTCTAAGGTAATCTTTCAGCCCGTCCACTAATCCATCATAACCATCAACGTGTAAAAGGTTATAACTGAAAAAGAAAAGGAACTGCTGAGATACGTTTTACAACAGAATAAAATTCTCTCACCTTGCTTCTGTATGCTTGATGTCCAATTTCTTCATGCGGTCCGGCAGTCGTCTTGTTCCAAGATTTTCAACTTTCCTCAGGTAAAATCCTTGACTCAGTATTGCTTTGCTCGTTCGTTTTACGGCATCGATAAGGCCCGGCTGAAGATCAGAATATTGATCAATAAATTGGAACCCTGATTGAAGTCCACAATCAGCGTACCTTGGACATTGTCCGAAGAACAATCATGACTTCGTAAGGTACTGGCATACTGACGCCGTCCGCGTAACTCAAACGGTCAGCAAAACCCAAGAGTTTAAGCACTTTATTCGCACATGTCTCGCGATTTCTAAAATTGAGAAATTTTCTATTCGCAGTCCCAGAATACTTCGAACCTCAAAACAGATTCAACCCGAATTCTTGACGTGCTTCGGCAAAAGCAAGTGGGCATAGAAGTGCGCGCGTCAATAAAGTTAGCGACGGACGGTGTGGCACTCGATCGTGCTTTGGATGATCCTCCAGCGGGTATCCTTTTCAAACACATGCACTGCGTTCGTCAAATTTTGAATGAATACCCCGCAAAAATCGAATCACGAAAATGAAAACTGAAATTAATCACGACCACTCCTTTAGGCTGCATTTTTGTGGATTTGATAAATTGTGATTGAATTATTCATATGCAATTTGGGTTTGCGCATCACAGATATTATGTGTCCTGCTATTATACATGTTCGCCAAGATCGTGTTTCCATTGATCGAAGAAACGCGGCTTATATACGGGACTATAAAAGTACCTGATTAATTTTACTATGCACGTTCTCCAAACTCCCATTTAATTTATGAATTCCCCTGTGGTTACTTATTAGAGTATAGTACTGTACTGTATTCTGTTACTTATTCATGTTCTTCAACACAGTTGTCGGAATCCTGGATGAGAGAGTGACACCTATTGAGGTTTAAAATAGATCTAAAATAAAAAAGTATTCTTTAATTGTAGGTGCCCCAACAAACTCCAAACTCAATTAGAAATTTGAATATACTGTATCGATATGACCTGCACGGGATTTGGAGATACATCAAGCAGTACAGTATGAAGAATATGAAAAATAAAAATGGAAAAAGAATTAAGAATCAGTGGTTGATTTTTCAAATCCTCTTGATTATTCTCTAAGTTTGCTCCCCGCGGTTTGCGACAGTTCCAAAAAATCAGCTGACAAACATTAGCTTATTTTCGATCGGGTAATAAGATGCTTAAAAAAAATTGTAACTTACCACGAGCTATAATTTCAGCCGCGAATGATCAGCTCCAAAGCTTGAGAACCTTCAATTTCAAGGCTTCGATCATTATTTTTTCGGACTCATAGATCACATCAACCATCCGAAATTGATAAAATACGATCATGGTGTATAGTCGTCTGGGTTCTACAGTTTTTGGCAATCGCAATTTTAACGGCGTTTTGTTTGCCAGTCCAAGAAATTCCTAAAAATACCACTCGCAGCTTTTATTCTCCCACAAAATGACCGCCCAAAATCAGGGTGCGGCCTACATCATATATAATCGCTTAAATGCTGCGTTTTATCCCCCTTTTTTAGGAGCAATTAGGCTCATTTTCAGATGTTTAACTTTACCCGCAATATCGATTATCGACGGGATGACTTCTGAACCGCGGGCAGCGGTGAACCCATCATGTTCGTCTCTCTGGTCAGTGGGCAGCCAACTTATTCATAAATCCCGAACCTGAAGCCAACTGCGCATGCCGCAAAGGCACGAGTCCAGCTCAACGACAGAATTGAACCCTCACCCTTCACGGTTCTTCCAATAATACGAATTCCAAGGTACTGGACGTACCAGCGGTTTTTGCGGTCGCTTTTTCAGCAGCAGAGGCAGCGAAAATAAGTGGATTGCGGGCGCATTAAACCGGAGGATATGGCATGAATAAATCTTCTCTTTGATACGTGTGGTCGCATTTCCGGGGCAGGATCGGGGAATAAATGAAATCGCTTCCGAGGAAATTATTTTCTTTCAGTATTCCACGTAGAAAGGGCTGTTTTTGCCCTGTGCTGGGGGTAGATACTGTATATACTAGGTAGTCGCCCATGACTCCAGAAACATCACCGGCTCTCATCATATATTGGAATACTGTACAGTATCTTTTTTTCGGCTTATTCGGACGTAAGTTGCTGAATCTTATTCCAAGTTATTCTTTCTACCCCAAACCGATTCATTCAGCCTTTCTGTCTTTAATGTTCAACAGCAACATTCTCGCATTGAAAAATATAAAATTGTCAGTTTTCAAGGACATCAAATAAATTTGGCGGCACCAGATCTTTTAGGATAATTAGAATATTAGTTATTCTTGAAAGGAAAATCAATGTTTGAAAAATGAACTCTCAAGTAACTGTCCGGTTATTTTCGTTCGGAGTTACCAACTCGTGATCAGACTCGGGAGCTGGTTCATGAGGTTGAGAAGATGCAAAATAATTACCGGACAATAAATACTGTAGATTAAATGGAACACAAATTCAGTCTAAAATTCGCATGACAGTACTTGTTATTTTTCAAGCACGCAAAATATAGGCGCGTTTTCTACTCCATGACGATTTACGTGTATATCCGATTAAATCGCAATAAAATCCCAAGGGTCAGTGAACAAGGTCTGATAACTTTATGTCTCAAGATTTCTTAAAATTTTGAAATATTTGTTTTTGAAGAATTTCAAGTACTGTACTGTAAAAGTGTAAATTGTGCACATATAAAGGCAATAATATGCAGAAAAAGCTAGACTCCCCCGATTCAAATGAAACTGAATAAGCTGGTTTTTAATTTTCCATAAATATTGAATTCAAACTTTATCAACAGATTGTTGGTACAGTAGGCCCCAACATACGGACACCCAGACATACAGATGATTTGACGTGTACAACTCAAAGCATATGCCCCAACATCCAGAATATTTCTTGAGATATATATACTTAGCTAACATTTGCAGAGAAATGGAAAGAGTTTAATTTTCGAATTTTTTATTTATTTTGGAAAAAAATATTTTAAATCTCTTCTACTTCTATTCACAAAAACGAGGAATAAACCTTATAATGAGTGTAACCTAATCCCTAATCTAAAACAGGCGTAATTTTGTGCTTATCTTTTTCAGATTTTTCCATCATTATTTGAGCACATTATAGAAAAACATACAGAAAAACGCTTTTTTGTTGCTTCTTGGGCTCATCATGCCAAAAGAGTAGATTATGTGTGGCTTTCTTCCACACAGTTATTTTATGCACAATATCTTGAAGTTGAGAAAAATATTCAATATTTGGAGTTTTTCCAAAATTTTGGCAATCAGGAGAACCAATTAAATATGTTTTCATTAAAGTCTATCTCTATCAGAAAATGCAATCCAACATGCAGATATTCCAGCATAGGGAAACAGTCCTTAAACCATCCATTACATCAGCATTTCTCAGTCTTACTGTACAGTATTTCAAATTCAACTTTAAGAAAATGGAGCAGCATGTGAAGTGCAACCAACATTCAATTCAATCTTGAGCAGGTACAAAAACTGAAGCATCAACATTCTATTGATTGATATACAAGCTCTATTTGCCATTTTTGAGCATTAAAAAGGCTAGAAAATTTTTATCCACATCCCATAGCAATATGATAATCACAGCACAAGGCAACTTAGCATTAAAATATTTTGAAAGTATTGCTAAAATGGCATGGAAAGTGAAGTACTGTAATGTACTTGACACAGAAGTTGACAGGCTCCTTGACTTCATATGCAAATGAGCAAGAGATCATCTGATGCATTTGCAAGTTACTGTACATTGAATTCAGCCCGCCAGGAACCTAAAAACCGACTGTATACCTAAATTTCTAAATTCACGGCGTCTTTTACCGTACACTACGCTACAGTACTCTTAATATACTCAAGCAAACACACGGCATTCATCTGCTGGACACAGTTGGACGTCATGCCGCCACCTTCATTGCGTGCTTCCCTCCCATATCCAGCCCTTCTATGCTATACAACGTGATTCAAAGAGTCGAAAAACCAACCAAAAACCCCGGCTTCCGAGAATAAGGCGGCCGTCGAAGCAAGTGAACGAGGGCGCCCTTCACGCGAAAAGCGGCCACATTTCACGGCACGTCACCCAGACCGTGGCACAGCTGCCAAGCCAGATTCCCCCCTCACTTCCTATATAAATGCGGACCAATTGTCCGAAAATAAAGAGGACCTATTTGGCTGGTGATCGAAGGGGGGGACGAGGAAACTGTTGTAAAATGCTTTCTACATGCAGCACTATACTCCGGAAATCCAGAAAGGAGATGTTGTTATTTATTTTATTTTATTTTTACTCATTTTCATGCTGGATAGAACAGCGGTGCTGCTTTGCTAGGTGATCCCCGGGGATGAAAACAAGTTATAGGAAACCCGCCCATTCCCTTCTTGAACAGGAAATACTGTACCGAAAAATTCTTAAAAATCTGAAATTAACGCATCTTGTTAATCAATAATTATAATTTGATTAATCAAGTAAACTCCCAAAAAACAAGATACAAATTGGTTAACAAAACTATTTCAGTAGCCTTCCCTTCTCCAAATGTTGGAACTGCTTTTTAAAAGCAGAAACTGTCGTACTACACACTAATACAAAGCTTCGGTAAATGCTTCGCTACTTCGAAAATCCAGAAAGGAGAGAATGTTATTAGTTCATTTTTAATACTGTAATTTGATTCACTTTTTCTTTGGATAGAACAGCGGTGCTGCTCTGCTAGGTGACCCGCGCGATGAAAAAAAAATTAAACCTATAAAAACCCGCCGAACCCCTTCCTAAATTAGTACCCAAACTTGGGAAACTTGATTGGAGGAATCATCTATTGAAGATTTGCACATCTTGTTAATCAAGAATAATACATAAATCAATTAATCAAACTCCCATAAAACCAGGAAAAATTTGTAAAAAGTTTCAATAGCCTTTCCATCGTCTCCAAATTTTTTGATTGCATATTGAAAAGTAGTAAGTGAATTATTGTGAAAAAGTACAGTAGTAGTGAATTATAAGAAAGAAAAAAACGTAAAATTTTTAGTGGCTGCTCTTCACTGCTTGTGTTGTTCATTTCTGCTAACTTTCTTATTTCACTGTGGGGCATCATTTTGCTATAAAAAAATTAAATGGTTTCCATTCGGCTACGTACGGAAAATTCTGACTTGGAAATTGAATCTTTTTAGGAACTAACAAGTTGCTGAACTTTATCACTACATTTACTCGAGTTCCATGTGCCCTCAAATAAGACTCGCACCTTGATTTTGCTCAAAAGTTTCCCAAAAGCCAATTCCTGCAAAAGACACAGAACCCGGA